GCTGGGCAGCCCCTGTTGCTTTGCTCCCCAGGTTTGCCTTGGCGCTGGTTTAATACTGGACAAATGCACCCAAAACTCTGCGGTTCTGAGTGGAACTAATAAAGATCTGAGGAGGGATGAGTTGAAAGGAAGTGTGAGGGATAGAAGATGGTTAACAACTCCACAATCCAAATTATATTTGCTCACTCTACGGCAACTGCAGGTAATAAAATTAATCCCAAGGTTAGCTTCCTTTGTATCTCAAGAAGCAGATTAGAACAAGGACTCAATTGCAGCTACCTCCTCAGTAATCACAATGCCTGACAGCAGAAACTCCAAATCTAAGTGTCTCAACTTAATACACAGCCAACAAGGACACACAACACCCTCTCCGTCAAGCTGCTGAAACATTGCCAAGTTTCAAAGCCCACGGAACCAGAACTAGCCCATATTGGATAACTCCGAGGCAGTCAGCAGACCTCCTGGTGAGCCAACACAGCCAAGGCACACTGAAAGGCAGCTGTTCACCAGCAGAAAACTCACACCGGGAGAAAGCAAATCCAAGTGTTTGACGCAGCTTCCTAACTATCACAGGTACAACGACAGCTAAAAACACGCCAAACCCACTGTCTCTGGGTCCCTACCACGAATAACTTCTCTCCAGGCTTGTTGTCTAAAGAAAATGCAGGGCTTACAAGCTGCGACCGGAAGGTAAATGTACATGTTACACGTGCTCCCCATAGACTGGATAGAGGCCAGGAAACAGAACTGAGAGGCCAGTTCCAGTCCAGCACTAATAAGCAGAGAGGGAATGGCCAGGCTGCTACATCTGATGGGTCAGAGCATCCTCAGCTAGGATGCCAAGGAGGAGCCAGACAGAGAATTCTAAGTCCTTTTCATTTCTTCACAAACCAGTGACATTTAACTGGCTTGACAGCTTAGAGTGCTCCAGAGCTCTGCCAAGGCTGAGAGCCCAGAAGCACCAACCTGAAAGCTGCTACCGACTTACCGCTAGTGTTCTCTTGAGCTGTATGTCTAGTAGTGATACCTACCAGATGGTATGCAGCCAGCTCACCGTGGTGGTGGCTGCAACTTCAGCTCCCAGAAGCCACCAAATGAGGCCATGTAAGTCAGAGTACAACCTGCCTCATTCTGGACACCAGAAAATAGGACCTACCAATTTATGGTATGTCCTGACGACTTGGTTGACAGTGACACACAAGATCCTCAAAGCAATCAATGATGGACTACCACGATCATCACCACCACCACCATCACCACCACCACCACTTTTCAGAAACACAAGTAAGTTAAAAAGCTAGCTAGCCTCAAGGCCTAAAAGATGACAACTTAGCCAGACCTGATCTTTAGCAGTACAGGTCTACATCTCCCACCCAGAGTGTATGGCTTCTCTGTCAACTGCACAGGTACCCCAGCTTCAGATCTGTTAATGCCATACTAAGGCAGAAGCCGGGGGGTGGGGGGCAGGGTGATGCGAAGTAGTAATCTGTCTGCTGTTTTGAAATGTTTACCTTCTGCAAAGGGCCTGGATTTAGCAAACAGCAGTCAGATTACCCAAACTTTGGACAAGCTGAGTCTCTCACTTGGCATATCTTTCTAAAATCAGAAGCATGTCATAAATCATCCATCCCACCACCTAAAACAATCCCTTCATTTTGCTGACTCTTCAAGAGATACAGGGGTCAGTGATCGAGCAAGTGTCCCATTAACAGAAAGCTAAAAAACTGAAGGGGTTGGTTGTTTAAAATTTCATGCTGTGAAGATTTCTCTGCCATCTGGGTGGTTTCAACAAGTTTTGTAACCATTGTTGTGAGAGTTACCGGCACAGGAGAGAGGTACAAATGCACAGGCCTTGAGGTGGAACTCGATGGTAAATAGTAGCCACACCTCGTGGGCCAGTGAGTCGGTTCAGTGGGTAAGGACACCTGCTGCCAGGCCTCAGGACTAGAGTTTGATGCCCAGAGCCACATAGTGGAGGGAGAGAACCTATTCCTACAGGTTGTCCTCAGACCTACATGGTACCCGAGTGCCCACACACATCAACAGAGAGAAAAGAATAAATGAAAACAAAAAAAGTAAAACAAAAATTAGTAACCACTCCTAAGAGGCTGACACTTTAAGAAATAGAATGCCACCTCCCAAGGGATTATCTAAATGCACAGTTTTAATAATTCCCACAAGACTATAAAAAGGGGTGAAACCTATAGGTTCTCAAAGGGTAAGAGAACACTATAATTTTAAAGACTTTATTCTAAATATTATACTCAGTGTGTAAATTATCAAGCAGTATTCCTGCTGTCCTTCTGCTCTGCAGATCAAAGCATCCACCTGCCCACTAGTCTCACCTCCAAGTTCAATAACATGGTAATTAATCTAACTGTACCATTTCTTATTGCTACCACTAACTTCAACAATGTAGCAAGAAATTACCATCCTCTATTCTTCCTCCTCCTTGGTTTTTCAAGACAGGGTTTCACTGTGCAGCTTTGGAGCCTGTTCTGGAACTAGCTCTGTAGCCCAAGCTGGCCTCAAACTCAGAGATCCACCTGCCTCTGCCTCCTGGGAGCTGGGATTAAAGGTGTGCACCACCACCACCTGGCCCATCTTCTAGTCTTTCCAATGTAAAAACTACATATGAAGTGAAAATTAAATACTAAGAATATTTTTAAATCTCTCGGGAAGAGACTGGAAATTAAAAACAAAACAAAAACAACCCTGTTGCAGTTTCGGAGTAACAATGGTAAGTGAATTTTGTATTCCTCAAAAGAAAACAGGATGAAGCGCATTACTTAATACACAAGCAATAATGTCACTCTGCTTCTTTAACTTTTTGTCTTTTATTTTTAAAAGCAAAATTTGGGTATTTTCATCTCAGAAAAATAATTTTGAACAGTACCTAAAAGCTCCTAATTCCTAAAAGATACATGATTGATAATCCCTAAATTCCTAAAGCAACAAAGTAACTGCTTTCCTGCAACAAATGCTTTAAAGGAACTGACCATCAGTAATAAAGAATTCATCATCACTCTTGGAACCCATGCAATGGTTGATGGATAAAGGCACTTGCCACCAAGCTAGATGACCTGAGTTCAAGTCCCAGAAAGCACATGATGGAAGGAGAGAACCACACTGCAAGCCGTCCTCTGACCACTACACAAATAAATGCAGAAAACAAAAAATAAATCAATAAATGTAAAGAAAATTTACACACACACACACACACAAAAAAAAAAAAAAAAACTTCATTCTTTCGGTCAAAGGGGAGAAGCCAGCTCTCCCCCGCCTCACACGCGTTTCCATCTCTAAACTTTGCACTGAGGAGTGACTGGTATGTGTAAGTACTCATTTTTCAAGCAAAGGCAATCACACCCAATCCATAAAAATCACAAGAGTAAGACAGACACATGCTGTCTTCCCATAGACCCCTCTTTCTAGGCTTGACCCAAGAAAACCTTGCTGACTCTCTCCTTTATCAACTCTCTGACCCTAGAAACTAGCTATGCAGGAAAACCTAAAAGCCCTGAAAGGAAATCCCCTTAGTGACCTCATCAAAAACAAACTTTTATAAAGAATAACTTAAGCATGTATTCATCACTCAGCATCAACACTAAAAGCGAAACGATTCATTTAGGGCACCAAGAGAAGGAAACGCTTCGTTCCAACACTGTTGAATGCCTCACTTCTATCTGAAATTTCTCCAGCACAAATTGATTATCCGGCAGTAGGCCACGAGGCTGCTGTTTAAACACCACCTCGGTGTTATACTTGGCCACGTCCTAAGCGTGCTCTCCACGTCACTCACTGATTACCTGTATCAAAACACACAGCCCGCAGCTGGGCCCCCTCCGGCCTCCTGAAGCAACCTCTCGTGTGTGCTGCTCGGCCTTTTATAGTGGAGGCATGTGATGTGCGTATCTGCACCAGCTGTTCCTAATTACCTCTCAGACTGGGGGGAATGACTCAGCAACACAAACTCTTTTAAAGAGTCACCCTACCTTGTTATCCAACCAACGGAGCGAACAAAGGGAAGCCACTTGACAGATCCATCGGTTAAACAACAATACAAGAGGCGATCCTCCTCCAAAGCCAACGAACTCCAAGATGACTCACAGGAGTCTTTTTCCCCCTACACTACCTTACGACGTCTAAAGCCAGAAGTGGCAAGCGCCTTCAAGCCCAGCCCAGAGCCTGAACCACTACCACAAGAGTAGGAAGAATAGGCCAACCCATACCTCTTCCCATTTCTCTGAACGTGTGTAGCACTCAAAGGCTCAGCCACTAACAAATCTAGAGTGTCCATCCTTAAATCTTTCCAAACTGCCTTCCACGCAAACCCAGTGGGCTGAAAGGAGCGCTGAAATACCTAAACAAAGACCCAGCAGGGGCAGCCTCCATAGCGAGCAGTCACAACTCTATACAATTCTCCAAAAAAAGAGCAGCATCCTGCAAAAACAGTCTTTGTTCTTCCAAGCCTGTCGCTGGAGCTGGATTTTTCCCACACACGTTCTTTCAGAATTACTACAGCGTCTGCCCTGATTCAACCCCATGCTGAACGTAAAGAGCTCACTACATAAAAGCCATCGGCGCAATTCCACTAAATGACACCAAAGTGCCGGAGAAGAACGAGAACGCGTTGGCCCGGGCGCTACCGGACACGAACACAAAGCGGGTGTCGTTATCATCGAGACCCACTCTGCCCAGACAGTGTGAGTCTAAATTACAAACGTGCGTAAAGCTGCAACAAAGGGAAGCCCGGACCGCCGGGAGGTCCTGGCGTCCCGGCTGGCTCGGCCTTGCCCCGGCACGCAGGCAGATCGGGACGCGGCCCGCGGAGCTAGGTGCAGGGCGGCGCCGGCTCGGCCTGCCCGAGAGTCGGAGCAGCGCGTAAACAGCGCGCAGCCCGCCGCCCCTTCCAGGCCCGCGCAACCGCCCGCCGCGAGCCCGGATGACCCCCGGGAAGGACGGAAGGACGACAGCCCCGCACCGCCCGAGCCACTCACCGGAGCCGAGGCGCGGCGCGGCCCGACTGCAAGCTGCAAGCGGCGGTCAGGTGACTCACTCCCTCGGCGCTGCCGGCCGCCCGCCCGTCCCCTCCCCTGCGCTCCGCTCCACTCCGCCACGGCCGCCAGCGCCTCCCGGCGCTAAAGCCCCGCCCCGCCCCAGGCCCCGCCCCGTGGCTGGAGCCTGGCCAAACTCCAGGCCACGCCCGCGTTGGAGCCACGCCCCGTTCCAGGCCACGCCCTCTACTGGTAGGACCCAACCCCGTCCCGCCTGGAGAGCGGTACCCTGTGTATTCTGGTGGAGCTTGGAACTGAGAGCCCGGGGTCCAAACCCGTCTTCCTACCTCTACCTTCGGTGGCAGAGTGACAAACCACCGAGGACCACCTCCTTCTCACCTGCTGATGCCTCCATACACCCAAGGGTCGTTGCATTGCTCAGGACAGCCCCCCAACCCTCGCCCCCAGCAAGTCAGATAAGGATCTTCTGTCCCACGCCCCTCACCCCTCACCCCCGCCGCCCCAAACCATAGAAGCTCGGTTCAGCCATGCTCCTGGGCTGCTTTCCCGAGGGGGCGGGAGAGCCTGGTGTTTGAACTTGCCGAAAGGGATGTGTCAAGAACGTCCATCTGGAGCTGAACAGGACTTTTAGGAGCAGGTTTGAGAGAAAGAGGCTGTCCCGCCCCTCGCCGCCATCCCCCCCCCCCCACCACCACCACCACCATGGTCACTTACTTCCCTTCAAGTTGTTTGTGTCAAATGAGTCCCTTCCTTAAAAACCACAAGGCATGTGACCTGGAGCGTACTTTGGTCATTATAACCCACTTATATGTATAACCCACTAATATGAATGATTCCCTGATCAAATCCCTTTACTGCTTGCACCCGGCACAGGCTGCTCTGAGAATTAACCCTGTGCCCTTCATACTTGCCTGTGTAATCTGCACACATATTTTTTTTCTTTTTCCTTTTGTTTTGTTTATGTTCTTTAAGACTGAGTTTCTCTGTGTAACCTTGGCTGTCCTGGAACTCACTATGTAGACCAGGCTGGCCTCAAACTGGGCTATACACCTGCCTCTGTCATCCAAGGACTAGGATTATAAACCCGCGCTTTTTGTCTGCTCACTGCATTCACCAAGGAGCTAACACACTGTGCTGGGCTTCCCATCCGGAATGTAGAGCAAAGTGCCTGGCAGCCTACTTTGGTCTGTCTATGCTGTAGCTAGCGGAAAACATGGACCCAGTTTCAATGGCTGGCAGTGCCAGCAGCCATCTCCACCAAGTGCTGCTCATGCTCTCATCCTCAGCGGCTTATTCAGGTATCTACCCAGCTGTTCGTTTTTATTTTTTATTGTGTTCACTGTTGTTCAAAGCAGCGTCTTACTGCAAGGCTGCACGCACTTGTGGCAAAGCGTTATCAGTCTGCAGAAAGAGTGGGCTTTCCTGGCCAACCTGATTAGACCTAAGGAAGGAATCACCACCCCTAAGTCCTGTAGCCCTGAGACCTGTAGCCTGGGAGGGTTGTGGAAAGGGATAATATTGCTGGCTTTTGAGTAACGTGAAAAGGTGGGGGGAAATGGGTTTCTAAGCACCAGCAACCCCAAAATGTATTTACCCCTTAAACACAAACAGACAACCCAGGGATTCCAAGAGAGGGGTGGCTACCAAGTAGTCGTATCATTTACCTGATTTCATCTGTTCAGCTCTTGTGGACACTCAGTTACCTCCAAAATCCGTAAGAAAGTGGCGTAAGTGGCATGAGATAGCAATGTAAGTTGTTGAAGTGATGGCTTCGTGAGGAAGGGACAGCAGAGCAAAAACCAGGGCTTAGTTGAGATGAGTGTGGTCCAGCAGGCGGTGGGGGGTTCAGAGATGGAGGTGGGCAGCATTTTCAGATGCCTGAGTTCATGATGCAGGTATTTGTTTCATGAGAAATGAGGGAAGACACTTAAAGAGAGACCATGCGAGAAGGATGAGGGCTGTGATAGACACTCGAGAGTGCCGAGGCTTCATTCACTCTCCTTCCATTCTGAGCAAAGGGAACTGTCATCTGCTTTCTTTCCACACCTCTAGCATGCATTGCTTCGATAAACTGCCTTCTGCTGTATGGTATTAGCTCTTCCAGAAGCTCCCTACAAACCAGCTTATCCTGGTGTGTCCTCCAAGAACACCTCTCTTAGCGTGACTCTGTGACAAGGAAGAAAGAACAAAAGTGAAAACATTGTGCCCTTGAGAACAACTAGAAGGTGAGCCACTTCCAACAGAGGTTACCGTTGCTTCTGTGATGTTACAAGGTTCACTGCAGAATTATTCTACAGTATAGTCCTTCTGAACACTGAAGAGGTGTTGCTCTCATGATTTTCAGAGCAGAGAGAATGCTGGGGAGAAGAAGATGGAGTCAGAAGAAACTTCCTAAGATGCAAAGAAAGCGAGATGGGAAATACAGACATTAGGTAAACGAGCCTCAGGGCAGCACATAGATTCATAGAGATGGATTAACTTAAGGCATAAGAGCTAGCTAAAAAACAAGCTTAAGCTATTGACTGAGAATTTATAATTAATAAGTCTCTGTGTGGTTATTTGGAATGTGCCTGGAAGGACAGAACGGATCCGCAGTCTAGACCGAAAATGCTGTCTACAATGGCACCCACCATGACGCAACATAGATCCACATAAAACCTGAGAAAGCTTTAAAAATGATTTCAAACATACAAAACCAGCTAAACGTGGCTTCCTAGTGTCACAGTTTCATGCCAGTTACAGTGCAGAGACATGTCTTCTGGCAGCTGCCTGCTGGATGGAACCGGCCGCCAACCACCATACCCTCCCGCCATGCACTAAGCTGAGTAGGGCAGACAGCTGACATGGCAGTTTAAGATTTGTCTCATAGGATCACAAAGCAATATAGATGACCAGTAAGGACAGATCCAGACAGAAAAACTTCTAACAGGTTACAGTGTGTTTGAAAATAGACATAGTCTTGGGAGAGAAAAGAGAAAATATATATATAGTCATAGAAAAAAATAGTTTAAAAACAATAAAGTCCTTAAAAAGGAATAAAGTAATAAAAATATAATAAGCCACGTAAAGATAGAAAATACACAGAGTCTGGATTCTGCATGTTATTGTGTTATCTTTAATTTTTTTGACTGCTGATGAACGAAGGGCAGCTGCTAAAATACATTGGATTATGAAGGCTGCTGTGTTAAAGCAACCTATGTATTTTGAAAATGTCTCGGACACCCAATACCACTCCCCCACCTACCACAGCCCCAGTGACCAGGCAGCAGCATCTTCCTTGCCCTCTCAACCATCCCCCACTGTCTTAGTGACCACCAGAGCGACAGACCCCACCTGCATGTAGAGGAAGAAGTGAGTGCCTGAGCTCCTAGCTGGACAGCCCTGCACCTGGGTTCACATCCTGTACCCTCCCACACCTACTGCAGCCCCAGTGACCAGGAAGCAGCATCCTTCCCAACCCCTAACCATCCACCACCACATCAGCAACCACCAGAGCCACAGGCACCACCTGCACCTGGAGAAAGAGCAACCACTGAAGCCACAGGCCCCACCTGCACCGACGACAGGAAGAGATGGGTAGACAGCAGTAGAAGATACATTCAACAACAGAAAGACCAATATGGCAGAACCAGAAACTAGTGGTTCCACAACAGCCCTTAAAGAGGAAATGAAAAATTCCCTTAAAGAAATGGAGGAAAACACAAACAAAAAAATTGGAAGAAATCAACAAATCCCTTAAAGGAAGTCAAGAAAAACAAGTCAAACAAGTAAAAGAAACTCCTACAACTGATAAACACCATCAGTACTGTAGCAGGACACAAGATTAACTCAAAAAAAAAAAAAGTAGCCCTCCTATATACAGATGATAAATGAGCTGAGAAAGAAATCAGAGAATCATCAACCTTTACAATAGCAACAAATAATATAAAGTATCTTGGGGTAACTCTAATGAAACAAACGAAAGACCTATATGACAAGAACTTGAAGTCTTTGAAGAACGAAATTGAAAAAGATATCAAAAAATGGAAAGATCTCTAATGCTCTTGGATAGGTAGGATCAAAATAGTAAAAATGTTAATCTTACCAAAGCAATCCACAGATTCAATGCAATCCCCATCAAAATCCCAACACACGGGCTGGAGAGATGGCTCAGCGGTTAAGAGCATTGCCTGCTCTTCCAAAGGTCCTGAGTTCAATTCCCAGCAACCACATGGTGGCTCACAACCATCTGTAATGAGGTCTGGTGCCCTCCTCTTCTGGCCTGCAGGCATACACACAGACAGAATATTGTATACATAATAAATAAATAAATATTTAAAAAAAATCCCAACACAATTCTTACAGACCTCAAAGAACAATAATTATCTTCATATGGGAAAAAAATGGGATAACCAAAACAATCCTGTACAATAAAGGATCTTCTGAAGGCATCACCATCCCTGACTTCAAGCTCTATTATGAAAACAGCTTAGTATTGACATAAAAACAGACATGTGGGCCAATGGAATCGAACTGAAGACCCTGATATTAAACCACACACCTATGAACACCTGATTTTTGACAAAGAAGCCAAAATTATACAATGGAAAAAAGAAAGCATCCTCAATAAATGGTGCTGGCATAGGGATATCAACATCTAGACGAATGCAAATAGATCCAAATCTATCCCCATGCACAAAGCTCAAGTCCAGATGAATCAAAGGCCTCAACACAAATCCAATTACACTGAACCTGGTAGAAGAGAAAGTGGGAAGTAGTCTTGAATGCATGGGCACAGGAGACCACTTCCTAAATATAATGCCTAAATACAGACACTGAGAGCAACAATAAATAAGTGGGACCTTCTGAAACTGAAGAGCTTCTGCAAGGCAAAGGACATAGTCAATAAGAACGGCAACATACAGAATGGGGAAATATCTTCACCAACCCACATCTGACTGAAGGCTGATCTCCAAAATATATAAGGAACTCAAAAATCTAGATACCAAAATACCAAATAATCCAATTTAAAAATGGATGTGGGGTACATGTCTGCTGTGGGATAATGCTCTTATACACTTTAGATGTAAAGCAAAGGATAACCAGACTGTACAATCCACAACCCCAGAGAAG